ATAAGATTATGTGATATTTATAGAGGTTTGTTGGAAATTCAGATCAAGACACTAACGTGACAAACATATTCCCTGACCCTGTCTACGCCCAATTCGTCCGTATTCATCCAGTTGACTGGCATGGCTATATAAGTTTACGATTTGAGGTTCTTGGATGCTCAGCAGGTAAATAAAAATAATATACCAATTAGATTTAAATTAAAATTGAGTAGTAATAATGGCAATGACAATGATAATGATAATAAATGTCTGTTTATATTTCCATAGAAAACAATAAAAAGCTAAAAGTATTAAATTGTTCATAAATATACATAATAAAAAAAATAAGAGAAGTATTTAACACTGGCACGATTCTATAACGAATTATTGTGTATGCGATAAAACACATTTTAACAAATCAATTCAAATAATGTCATATTAATGAAAAAACGATACAATCGTCGTTACTACTTCGGTGTTACCGTCTTTCCATAATTATGGCGCCATTTCAACATTTGTCATAATATTTTGTTATTATAAACACGATAAATCGTTATCGAATCGTCCTAGTGTAAAGACTCTCTTATTTCTCTTGTTTTCTATGAACAATTGCTTTTTAGCATTTTCGTTATCATTGCAAGTATAAACAGGCCTTAATGACAACTATGGCATTATATTGTGATTATAATTTACGGTAAATGATGTTGAAATTATTGATTATGAACACTAATGATTTATTAAAATGCAAAAGTATTATTCAAATGTTAATATGCCTTAAACGTTTATTGCAATATATTCAATTTTCTTTCGTCTGAATCACAGCTTGTTTACGAATAAGTAAAAAAATCGATATGAAGAAGACAGTAGGCCTAATTGTATTTACTATACCACTGTAAATTTGTTTTGTGTAGGTCCAGTGTGCTCAGAGTTGGGTGGACGCTCCACTTATTACAACATACTAACGGTTTGAATGAATGTATTTTAATGTATATTTAATTGAAGTTTTTTGTAAATTGAAAATGTGATTTTGTTTAATATAATCGTAAAAATAGAATTACAGTATAAGTAGGCCTAATTGTATTTACCATACCACTGTAAATTTGTTTTGTGTAGGTCCAGTGTGCTCAGAGTTGGGTGGACGCTCCACTTATTACAAGTCTTTTCGTCGCAATCCACAATGTTCTGTAACGACCAAAAACTCGAAAAGAAGTTGCATTAGATGCGCTGTGAAGTGCATGAGGGCGCTAGGATGCAAGTATTTCAAATACGATGGAGAATGCCACATTTATACCTGCAGTAACAATGACTATTTTGTTGCCTTTCAGTTTGGTTAAAATTGGCCTTTCCCTTGGATACTGTTGCTAGGATTCGAAAGATTTAAACGTACGTGTGTTCATGGATATACGTATATCTGCCTTGTCCTTATTAGTCAGTCGCTAACTTTGATCATTCCAGAAATGTTTATTAAATTTCTTAGATAATGCATGCTTTGTATTTGTTGCAACAATTATCATTTTTCAAAAACTGATGAAGTCTTGACTAAATGAAACTGTGTGTGTAGTAATTTTAGTACAAATTCGTTCATTATTTTTATTGGATCTCATAAAGTGGTTCGTGTTTGTAATTTGTACTGGATGATTTTGGTATTAAGCAAAAGTATAGGACCT